TGCATTATTAAATTAAACTTTGTACAAACTAAATTTTTTCTTGATTTCATTAATATATTGAGAAGGTTCCTTTCAAGTTTTATTCTATGTAGTTAGGAAATACTTAAAAAGTTACCAGGAGATTTTCAAATATAATAAATTACGAGTCTGCCAAAATAACGATTCTTATGTAAGTTTTATTATGTATAATCTAAGTTATACACTTTTCTAATAATAATTTTAATATGTCAAAATCATGTTTCACAAAATATTAGGTACATATAAAAATTCAATTCAATTATAATACATAGATCTGATTTATGATGGAAAATATAGGATATTATCTTTTATATTTTATAAAAAAACATCTTTATTTACAACAATAAGATTTTATTTATTAATTTTATTTTGCAACGTCATATTGAAACTGCTTTTAACGTTCGTGAATGTTTTTAGCTGAATTGTTTCGCCAGTTTGTTCGCAAGCCCCTATATTTTTTGGTTCCTCATTACGGCCCTGTTTCATAGTCGAATTGACGGAAGGTGGGGGACATGTGGGGGGAGGTTTGGCTCACTATTTGCTCGATGGTAGCCGCGGTCTTCGTACTTTCGACAATTCGGTACCTTGATCGTGCTTTACGGTGATTATTGTGAACGAATCACGTTGTTAACTTTGCGGAGTTTGAGGAACGAGTATAAAAGGCGTTCATGTAAAAAGTAACAAGGGAAAGTGAAGAAAAAGGAATAACAATGTTGAGTCTTTGCCGTCAAGCCATAATAGCTAACAGTCAAAAGTGAGTATAAAATTATAAAACACCTGGCGAGGCACAGTGTTTTAACAAAAGAAAATTTCGCTGGTTTGTGTTTTATTATTCTGCAGCATGCATTAGCTCCTGGTAACGTATATTGATTATTTTCGCGCATTGACACAAGCACTGTATAACAACGTCCGAACATAAATGAAGGGGCGCGCATATATGTATGTAGACGTCAGCTTATTGGTGTGTTATTGGTCCTCCGATTCGTCTTCCTTGTCATATTTCCTCTGTCCTTATGTTGTCCTTCCTTGTCTAGGACAAGGATAGGCTACCTTGCTGGCCTGTCGGAATTTTCCACTGTACAACGAACATGAAAGGTGTCCTTTGACAGTTCATTCACCAATCTTTTCTGACTGCGTAATACTTTTGATCCGATACGCTATTCTAATTTGCTCTCCAACGGCTATTGTATTATACTCTGTACGATACACCCGATATTTCAAGTAAATGTGTCTGCCGTATGTCCTGTCAGGTGCCGACGAATAATAAGTCACCTGATTTCTAACAATGCTTACTTACTCAATGTAGTCTGAGAGATGTAGAAAACGCGAGAGCATGCGTGCGAGTATGTTATGCATTCTTCTTATGCAGTCTGCAACTTCTACATTGTTTATTTTACCGGTAACGTCTTATGTCACTCGTGTGGACATGTAGGGCCATGCCAACGGTTTCTGCTTGGACGAGGCAGAGTATATTTTGTAAAATTTAAGATCTTATGACACAAGTGCACGTTTATTCTGACATAAAAGGCAAAACTTAAATAAAATTGCGAACACAGCCAAGAAATTCAAACAGAATTTACAAACTTTAATTAACGTTTTACTCATGCGCGTCACCAACGTCTTTAGAAATCTCTAATCGGCCAGCTGCATTACAAAATATAGGCAGACAATTTGTGAAACATATTTTCGGAATCTAATCGGCCAGACGTTATTTTGTCATTACGAATGATCAGAGGAAATGATAAATTGCATTGATAATAGTTTATATTAAACGTAGCTCTCATCCAAAAATGTATAATTTTGAAATATCACGGTTTACTAGATAGATATTAATCTTTTCAACATCTCGTGTATTAATGTTAATTCCCTTACCATGTGTTTGTCATGAAATGACTTTAAGTGTTTTCCATGCCACTTTTTATACTAGAACTGTGTTTTAAACTAATAGTTTTATTTGCGTACATATACGTGTCCTTGAAACGTGATATTTCTGAATACCCATACATCCGTACAAGACACGTGACGTGGATCACGTATTTTACCGACTATTCGTAAATATGTAAATCATACAGTAGAAGATTTGATAATGACTTCGGTGTTTGCTAATCGGCAGACGTTATTCTGTTTCGTTAAGATAGCCGATAAAAAAAAAATTTTCCGTTGTTTCGTTAACCACGATTTCTAATTAATTAAACATTTTTTTTAGTACTGCAAAGAATGGATCTCTTGCCTCCAACTTGGTTCATTGTTCTATAATTGAACCGAGCGTATTCGTTCATTTGGATTCCGTTAATGTTGTTGGGTCGTGCATGACGAATCTACTACTCCATTGATTTATTTCAATTAACAGACCTCCCGTTATCGAATTATTTTTTGCACAATTAGTAATGCAGCGATAACTGGGATAATATGGGTCACTAAGATTCTGTTACATAATACTATGATCATGGTATTCGTTTGACATGTACAAGCCAGTTTAAAATAACGTCTTTCTCCCCTCAAACTAAATATCACATTTATGTAACAGATACGTGGTATTCTTTTCCGTTAAAACCCAGATAAAATAAATCTGATAGAAGGCGTATTTTTTTTTAAATAATACGCTTATGCATAATTTACTGTAAATTCATTATTAAATAATTGTATTTTTTAATTTTATGACAATTTGATGTTTTCTATATTTATTGTTTCGTTTATATTCATCTTTACATTAAAAAATCAAGCATGGAAAAGAAGATCTTCTTAAAATTTAAAGATGCAGATAAGACTATAGATTTAGGTTTGATTCCCAAGTACACAGATAAATATTTAGAGTTGGTTTGGGACAGATTTCAAGAGCTAATATTTGTACATACTACAGATCTCATCATATGTAACACTAGCAAATACAAAATGTAAACAGTAAACCTCGAAAACCTCTATTTTTATTCACATACTTAATGGCTCCTTCTTCAACAGAATTAGTACAAGATGTCTGGGAACAATTGTACCAGTACCCAATCCACCTGAATTTGCTTTAGAAAATGAACCTATTCTTAGTTATCAGAAGGGCAGCCCCGAGAGGGCTGAGTTGGAAAAAGTCTTGGATAAGATGGCTAATGAATGCGAAGAAGTGCCATTAGTAATTGGAAATGAAGAAATTAAAACTGACTTATCTAGATATCAAGTTATGGTAAGTTACATAGCATAACAATAAAGAAATGATAACACAAATTTTGTAGTATGTATTAATAATCATAATGGTCCGTTCGTTTAGCCACATAATCACAAAGTAAAAATAGCTAAGTACCACTGGGCAACACCTGATCTAGTCAAAAAAGCAATCGATGTTGCTGTTAAAGCCCAGCGTGAATGGGAGAAATGTTCCATTGATAAACGTATACAAATTTGGTTGAAGGCAGCTGATTTAATGGCAAACAAGTATAGGCAACAATTGAATGCTGCCACTATGCTTGGCCAAAGTAAAACAGTTATCCAAGCAGAGATTGACAGTGCAGCAGAATTAATTGACTTTTTTAAAATGCATGCGTATTTTGCCAAAGATAGTCTCAAGTACCAACCAATTTCACCAGATAAAAACACTTTGAACTCTTTGAGGTATCGTGGGATGGATGGCTTTATTGCAGCAGTATCACCATTCAACTTCACTGCCATTGGTGGTAATCTTAGCTACACACCTGCTCTGATGGTTTGCATTTTTTTTTTCAATTACTTCCCTTGCTGTAGCTTCTCTTCAATGAAAAAAAAATTAAGGGGTTATTCTAGCGTAAGCCTATTTACATATGTCTGAAGTACCTAATAGCACAAATTTGTAAGAAATATTTTATCAAAAATTATAGGAAAACACAGAAATTTTTTATTTAATAGGTTACACTAGGACTTCCCTTTAAATACTAGAAATACAAATGCATAAACAAAATCAATTTGGTTTAGGGTAATGCTGTTCTGTGGAAACCATCCGATACTGCCCTACTTTCTAACTGGTGGATCTTCAAAATATGTAGAGAAGCTGGTGTACCACCAGGTGTAGTCAATTTCGTGCCCTGTGAGGGTCCTGTTTTTGGAGACACTATCACTGCTTCACCATATCTATCTGGGATCAATTTCACTGGATCAGTGCCGACATTTAATCGTTTATGGATGCAAGTTGGTCAGAATTTGGGGAAGTATAAGAACTACCCAAAATTAATAGGTGAATGTGGTGGAAAAAATTTTCATTTTGTACACCCAAGCGCTGACGCAGAATCAGTTGCTTATGGGACCATAAGGAGTGCATTCGAATTCAATGGTCAGAAATGTTCTGCTTGCAGTAGAATGTATGTACCAGAATCTTTATGGCCTAAGGTACGTTTTTCATATGTATCTCATACATGATAGCAATTTTTACAAATGATACATTTTCATTATTAAATGTTATTCAATCTTTTATAGGTAAAAGAAGTTCTTTTATTTATCCGTAAAAAACTGACGATCGGAGATGTTAGGGATTTTACTATGTTCGCTGGAGCCGTCATCGATGCTGCTGCGTTCAAAAGAATTTCCGGATACATCGAACATGCCAAGAAATCTCCAAATTTGGAAATCATTGGCGGTGGAAACTGTAACGATTCGTACGTTTCTTTCACTTATCATTGTTCAACACGTAATTCGGTATTATTACATAATATATATGTTTTTCTAGACGAGGATATTTCGTTGATCCCACAATAGTGGTAACAAAGGATCCAAAAGATAAGATTATGACTGAGGAAATATTTGGCCCTGTGTTAACAATTTACGTTTACAAAGACTCGAAACTCGACGAAACCATGGAACTTGTTGAATCGTCGACACCCTATGCTTTAACTGGTTCGATATTTGCACAAGATGAGTAAGTACTCCATTTATCTCGTAATAAATTGTTTTATTTCGGTCCGCTTCACCGTTATCTTCACTTTTTAGACAATGGGCGAGAAAAGCGCTTGAGGAGTTCAAGTACACGGCTGGTAATTTTTACGTTAATGACAAATCGACCGGATCGGTTGTGGGTCAACAACCTTTTGGTGGTAGTCGAATGTCTGGTACAAACGACAAAGCTGGTGGCCCTAATTATGTCCTTCGTTGGGCCTCGCCGCAGTCGATTAAAGAAACGTTTGCCCCTCTGCGCGAATATGATTATCCATACATGAGATCTTAGGTTTAAGTACACAGCATGCATTAATCAAATGAATATGTACATATATTTTGTGCAGTAGCAGCATCCTCTATTGCAAACGTGAAAAAATGCTGTTGTTCATAGATGATCGATACGATCGATGAAATATTCTGATGCATTTCCTTTTACGTGGATTCACCACGTACAGGCGGCGCTATATTTGCACCCACGATGCAAGTGACTCGTGCTTCGTAGGAATTTATACTACAAAAAGCATAATGCTTACACACACATACGATTACTCGTGGTGAAAACCTATGTTTTCTACAAACAGAGTGTTCAGTGATTGGTATCTGTCCGTACCAATTGATTAGTATTTTTGTTTGGACATTAATCCTGTTACCGTCTGATCGATTAGATTGACGTCACGAGACAAGTATTACTTGTGAACCGCTTTTGAAGCTGCAACACGGGCTCACCTTATTGTTCGCTGCCAATAGACAATGATCATGTTATGTAACGTGCGGCATGTAGAGTCAATATATTGTTAAGATCGATTTTCAGTACAATAATATTTTAATATCTCAGGAATATGTGTATACATGGTCGCTGACGGAGAGGCATTTCAGTTTTTCGGTCATAGATTGCAGTTTTGCATGGAAACTTTTATAACGATAATAGCGGAATATGTATATCGTTAATAAATTGTACAAGGCGAATTGAAAAAAAAGAAACAAGACATCCTGGGCGTATCTGGGAATTGTGATGAATGCGTACTAGTTAGAAAAACCATGTCATTGTGTTTTTCTGAACTCACCCTCTTTTTTACTATTCTTACACGGATCGTTTACACATGGCGATATATATAATATATATGCGCATCCCGAATTCATTTTACTGTGTAATTCATGAGACAATATGTAGATGCGGGACAAACACAGTAAAATGCAAGAGTTACCCTTAAATTACGTTGTAGCGTCCGATTGTCGATCGGTCGGATATGTTATTGTTGACAGTGTGATTGAGGCATTAGAGTCTTATAAGTCGAACGGTGATTACCTAATTGAATACACAATAATATCTTAGATGTTGTGGCTGATGTTATAATGTAATTTATTTTAAGTGTACTATAGCAATAAAACACTGTACGATTACACATCTTTGCTCATTCGAATTATTTGATTAAATTGATATTATTATTTGATAAATAAAGTATCTTCCTGGCAGAAAATATTCAAGTGAAATATCGAAGTGAATATAAAGCAACAAAAGGTTTATTAAACAAATTATCTCATACATTTTCCCATTGCAATTTTTAATATAATTAGTATGAAATTAATTAATTATTAATAATTTTTCATGGGCTGATTCGTTCTTCTGATGCTGGTTACTGGTTAGTTTATTTGAGTGCCAACTCGTCCCTGGGATTTTCTGCATTGTGGTTCTTCTGATGCCTGTAATCTACAAGACAAGGAAAAAGAGATTGTGCATCTAGGATGAATATATCGCACAATACTAGATCCGCCATCTAACAGATGATCAGCGGTACTAATTAGCTAGAGACTTCAGTGTACTGCCACGGATGACACCATCAGTTTCGAGGTTCACTCTCCTGTCGATATTTGCCACGGGTGGCGTCACCCGCTTATTTAGTATCAGCATACCATCGCCATCTAGTTTTTTCAAATATTTATTAGCTGTCGATAAATTTGGCTAACAGTTTGAGCGTTTTGACACCACGTGATTTGGCGCTGTACGAACCCCGAACAGAGCTTCTAAAAAACGCCACGGCGGCGCTACTTTCGCCCGCGATGTTTGAATCCGGAAAGTTCGTGCCGATTTTCGGTAGGTAGCATGAGAGACCTGACTGAATATATCACAATTATTGAAAACAAATGACATGTGTATATATTCTAAAAGAGATAACTTCAGCCATATTTGGAAAAAAGTTTGGTTACGATTCGTTAATTTTTATCAGTTTTGTACGTCTTAGAATATGGTGGCAAATAAAGTGCATTATAGACATTTAATGCTTTTCTTTTTCCGAAAGGGCAAAAATGCCGCACAAGCGGCAAATAAGATATACGCTGTGCGGAAGTGGTTTGCTCGGTTTAAAACTGGAAATTTCGACCTTGAAGATCAAGAACGACAAAATTCTTGCCGAAAAACCTGAGAGGTTCTGGAAGAACGGAATTCTCTCAAGCTGCACGAAAGATAGAGAAAGGTTGTGGAGAACAGAATGGTACCTATATAATTTAATAAATGTATACCAATATTTAAATGAGCTGCGTTTTAATGTTCCGAAAAAATCGGCACGAACTTTCCGGACAACCCAATACATACTGAATTGTCCCGCGAGATATATTGTAAATAATTAACCGAGCCATTTTGTTGCACTCGAGTTTATCGACTTTATAAATGAGATTTTCGTGATCGGGGACGAATAAAAAAAAAAGATGTAAATATCTTTCACAAATGAAATGCATTTCATTTTGATTTTCATCTCGTATATTATATTAAGTGTGAACAAACGTGAACAACATTTACAACGTATTATTGGCCGAATATACGATTAGTTAGAGTTAAGTACACGATAGCTGAACTGGGTTTGATTATTATATCGTCGCTGGTCGAGATGGATGGTTGGCAGATGCGGAATCGTTAATGGAGCAATCTATCCCCGTTACACTCGATAATATTTTACTACAAATATGATACGTTTGAATCGTTACGTTTTGCGATTACAATATCCTGCCGCGTTAATGCTATACTTTTGATTGTTTATTTCTCGCCTATGAACGCGATCGATCTATCGCCGGGAACGTGTTCACAGTTGAACCCGATGATCCATTATGTTCTGTTCGTTGTTTCTTTCTTCTCGATGAGATCGCAAAAAGACCGTTCGCCGCTGTAGAAAGATCACGATCACACGCGGTTCACCTTACGAACTATAATTCGATAAAAATGCTTCGGTGGTCGTACGAAGAAGGTTGTGCGAAATGGCTGATCGCGACGCGGCGATCACAAAAATTGAGTACCGTCGGACTTAAAGTACAAAGGTTCGCGGTCGAACCCCGCCAAATGAAATATACCTTATTGCGTATCGAAATTACAATTAATTACAGTTATTTAATTACATAATTACATAATCATAATTTACACGCAGAAATCAAGAGAAACAGAAGCACGTTCGGGTCCCTCGTTAAGTCTCGAAAGAAAGTCCTTCAAAGTCAACGCCGATCCCAAAGATTCGCGCAGCTCGGACACGAGAATTGGTACAATAAACTTGCAACGTGAAATAACGAATACGTTCGATTTTGTACGAATTACCCCACAATTAGTGCAGTTTCTCCACTCGCTCGAAACGATTGGGAAAATGCGAGAGAACGATCATTAGACCGGGGATTTTACGCGTTCGCGATAAAATTAGTAGTCGATGCCTTTCGACGCCGAAAATCTGAATTTTACGTACAAATCCGCGGCCTGATAATCGTTTACGCGGCAGTAAACAGCGGTCAACGAAGGTAATATCAGTAATTAATAACGCACGACGAGATCTTAAACGCACCACATCTTTCCATGTCCACGCTGAACAATCCCTCGATCGCTGGTTCCTATAAAATAATTTGTCCTTTGGTCGTTTAGGCCGTCACCTCGCTGGATGTACACTTGTCGAACATCGCGTCGAGGACCTGCGTGAACTTCAGGTGTCTCTCTTCCGGTGCCACGGTGGACCCTCGACTGCCCCATAGGAATTTTATATGGAACTCGGTTCGAAACGCGTCGGAAAGCAGCTCGTCGCTCCTGGAACCTTCCAGCGCGATCTCCGCGTTCCTGCGAAACAGCGGCAGATTCTCGGCCATTTTCCGGGCCGTTTCTAAATGGGACCAAACTATCGACAGACCGCAGTCCGGCGCCGAGTTCTCCCACGGAGACAGGATGGCCGCCGTAAGGCTCGAAGGCGCAGCGGTTCCTGTAGAAACAATGCAATCGTTTCAAACGGCAAACTACACACTTCAAATTTTTATACGCGATATTTTTCTGCATAGATTTTGATAAACAATTAATTTGATTTGTATTTCGCCTTGCGAGGCGAAACCCGTGTATTTTGACTGGTTTGGTAGTTCTAGTGTTAATTTATTTTTAAATATTCTCAAGGTTATGTCAAGGTCAACATATGAAATGATTCGCAAAGCTAATGTAATAAATAATAATCGTGTTAAACGACGTAAGGGATATGTTTGTTAGAGAAATATGAAGAATATTATCAATAACCTTGACATAACCTTGACATAACCTTGACATATCAAGGTCCTGTCAAGGTTATGTCAAGGTTATCTCAAGGTTATGTCAGGGTCATACCAAGGTTATGTCAAGGTTATGTCAGGGTTATGTACACTCAATAATCACCGAATAGTTTGTATAGTTTGATAATATGCAACAATATTTGGTCTGCTAAAATTCGTCGGAAAATCGTCAGATCCGCGGTTATGTCAAGGTTCTGTCAAGGTTATCTCAAGGTTATCTCATGGTTATCTCAAGGTTATGTCAAGGTTATGTACACAATAATCACCGAATAGTTTGTATAGTTTGATAATATGCAACAATATTTGATCTGCTAACATTCGTCGGAAAATCGTCAGATTTGCGGTCCGATAATCGCGTACATTAAAATTCAATACAAACATCGATTCTCTGTTTGGCTACGACTTATTTCACAGCCACGTTGATTAGCATTTGTTCGTTACTAACAAATTCCTACGTCAGACAGAAAAATGATGTTTATTATACGACAATCTTTGCTTCAATGTTTAAATACTAACGACAGATGGATCCAATCTAATTTCGATTTAAACGTTGCGAACAACGTGGATATTTTAGTAGATCACCACAACGAGCCTGGCACGATAATATAGAGAAAAGGTTAAGTTAATCAACAAACAAGAATAAATTCTGGCAAGCGTACCCAGCACATCCTCTGGTCCCCGTTCCCCCAGCAGCGCGATGGGCAGCAGATGGGGCAAGGTGGTGTTCGGTGCCTGTGGATTCGTGCACTCGTTCATGGCGCGCAGGGTGGGCCTAAGCTTCGCCTCGAAGCTGAATGCCTCGTCGGTGTGTTTCTGTCTCAGCAAGTGCCACGTGTTCGCCAGCCTCTGTATCTGTGGTAGACAGAGTCCCAGCATCACGCCGCAGAACCCGTACAGATTGCCGAGGGCCGTTTTGGTGTCGATGGCCACCTTGATCCACTTGCTGATGGTGGCAGCTCTCTCGATCGCGGTGGCTCCGGCCAGCACGGTCACCGCGACGAGCAGCTTCAGGCACTCGGACCTCTCGATCAGATCCACCCTGGCCTGTCTGCCATGCGGCAGAGTCGCTAGCTCGATACCGCTCAGCCCGTTTCTGTTCCCGGAGCCGGGCTGCAGGGCCAGTTCCAGGTCGATCTTGGTCAAATGGGAGGCCAGAACCCTGGGGGCCGAATCGTGGAGCATTCCGGAGACACCTCTGAGCGCCGTAGGGTCCAGAGGTCTGTGATCCCCGGCGGGCAACAGCAGAGTACTGAATCCCTCGATGTCCAGCGCCGTGGTGATCTCCAGGGAGGGCGCAGCGACGACCAGCTGCTCCTCCGCGGACAGCTCGTACTCGTTCCCGCCGTTCATGCCGTCGTTGCTGGTGTGATAGTGGCTCCTGATCACCACTCCCTTGATGGGTGCCGAGCCCGAAGGGTTGCTGGTGCCTCCGGAGTTGTTGGTCTCGAACTCGCTGTCCCCGGAGCCGTTTCCACTGTCGCTGCCCGACGCCTGGTAACCTTGGTGATGATGGTGGTGGTGATGGTGATGATGGTGGCCGTGGTGCTGATGGTTCGGAACGTAAGGTATCCTCGGGGGCTTCGGCGGAGCCGTTCCCAGCGAGTTCTGGTGGTTCAGGCTCGGCGGCTGGAGCGGCGGTTGCTGTTGCTGCTGGAGAGCAGGGTCCGAGATCACCCTGGTGATCTTCTGGCGACCGAGGGACAAGGAACAAGATGGCGGCTGGCTTTGGATGGGCGGCACGCGGGGCAGGGTGCTCGATTGGACCGGCACGTGCGGCGCGGCTTGCTGGTTAGAGACTTGCCGGCCATCGTGCTGCTCCGACGGATGGTGTTGAGCCGTTAGCGAGTGACTACGCTGCTGCTTCCGGGGTAGACGCGGTGGAGAGCCCGTCGACAGGGAGGACGACGAGGGGCTGGAACAGTGCTGGCTGTTCGTAGGTGCCGCCACGCAGGTCAGAGGCACCGATCTCGGCTTCGGCGTGATTATGCGAGCACCGCTCGCTTGGCTGATGGGTCGGCCGCTGCCCACGTAGAACGTTATCAAGTCGGCCACCGTGTCGAACGCCTCGTCCTCGAACTGGTACTGCGCCCTCTCGTACACCGTCTCCGGCTGGATCACCACCTGCGAATGCAGAAGACTCTTAGGGTTTGTGGTTTGTGTGAGATTTTCTTTTTTCTTGATGCGAGACTTCTTCTCGGAGATTTTTGGCAAGGCTAAAATAAATAATATATAATAATAATAATATATATAATAATAATAATAATAATAATAATAATAATAATAATAAATAATAATAAACTCCTTTTACTTTCGTAGGTGCCGTTTAACACTAGACTTACGGAACCCGTCAAAATGGCGGGTCACTGGTTTTTTAATTTACGATTATACATGTTACAATAATATTTGTTAAAAATCAGAATAAATTTCTTGTTGTTACTCTTATAAACTAATATAAAACAGCTGCTTTTTCTGCTTCGTAAATCTAGTGTTAAAATAACTGGTAAACGGTTTCCTTTATGAGAAATGCGTCAAATCTATTTTTTATGTTCTTCTTTTTACGTAGAATGCGTTAACGCAAGAAGAAATGTTCGACTACATTTTTCAAGGTCGTTTTATTTGAATTCTTTCAAACGGAACATTTTCGTTTCGATACAATGAAACAGCGTAAAAAGAACGAATTCAAAGCACTGTTTTCAAGTGACTTTGAAGTGACTTTCCAAGTTGTAAAAAGAAAATTTATTGTGCAACGGATGAGGATGGTCTTTTCTGACCTTTCGATCTTTACGTCGTCCATAGAATGCGCCAAAAATGTCATTTTTCGACTGTTAAATGTGCCGTTTATTTTGAAAGTGGCATAAGTCACTTTACCGTAATGAAAAGTGGTGATTTTTTCATGTTTATACGAAATTATTTATACTGAGAAAAATATCAGTATCCTGAGATAACAAATACAAGTAAATCTTATATCGACTTAAAAACACAGTGACCGACTTAAAAACAAAGTGACTTATGCCACTTTCAAAATAAACGGCTCAAATATTGTACATTAGTTTTCGTACGAGCGTTACCCACCCTGTTGATGACGAAATGAAGAGGCTGACCCTTGCACCGGACCGTGAGCACATAGTTCCCGGGCTGCGAGGCACAGTCGCGCACCAAAAAGTCACCGTCGTTCGGCACTTCCGCTTCCGCACCCTTCCGACCGCCCCGCAGCGTGCTGCCGTGGTACCAGGCGTGCGATCTCAGGTCTCTAGGATCGAGAAGTCGAAGTTCCCGCTCCAAGAGTTTGCGCGTCGACTCCTCCGGCGGCTCCTAAATTAGACATCCGAGAACCGGAATCTTAAATTACGGAACTACGATGCACGCTAGAAATTCGCGTTCGTGATGGATCCTCTTTTCAACCCTTCCCACTCGAAGCTACTTCAACTTCAAAATCGGGACACTTTGTTTCCGAACTAGAATAGCATTTTTCTATTACGATTACTTTTATTTTGCACCGTGTGACGTTCACCCCATTTGATCATGCAACACTTACGGTGTCAACAGTTTATTAAATACGCGAGCATCCCCTTTGAGAAATGCAACTTTCAAATCTCATTCTTTAATTTCGTCGACCTTTCATTTTCTCGGCATTCAATTTTCTCGGTATAATTAAGCTATCTGGGTAATTCATTTGTAAGCGCAAATAAAATCGTTTCAGGTAAGAATTTCGCCCAGAATTTCTCGATTCCGTTTCGACGTTCGGAGGCTGGGACTCTTCAATCGAGAATTCTATCTACTGTTGCGTCCAGAGACAAGGGCCATAAAAAGGTCCCACCATTGGGGAAACCCTCTCAGGCTCCAACAAGGGTCAAGGCAGACACCCCCCTCCAAGGGGTGATTCGTGCCTTGACCAATAATAAACAATCTACCTCCATCCACGGGTGCTCTTCCACGACTTTCCAGCGTTGGAAGAGCATTCTTCCACCAGCGCTCGCAGAGAGTACAACACAAAAAATAAAGTTCTCTAAGACTACTAGAGACCCATCCACGTCATTAATTTGCCGTAGGAAGCGCGAATCGAGCGTACAATAGTTCGGTCGCGCATGTACGTTAGGCGACTAACCGAACGTACGGACAAAACATCTACTACTCCATAAATTGCTATAATTCACAGCAGAGCTTACAGACACGAGCAACAAGATCTTCGATCGAGCAGTTTACAGTTGAGCCGTGTAAATCGCGTGATAGGTGCCACATTTGATCTGGACCGAGGCACGATCTTGATCGAACGTTCCGCGATTGTTTCGTAGGCCTCGGAGACAGCCGTGCGGATCAATGGAGAAGTGTCTGGACTCGGCGAGACCACGGAATTGGCTTAACAAGAACAGCCTTGAGTGGTTCACCCATAAAGAGATCATCGCCACGCTCGTGTGCGAGACTTATCACTGACTTACTTAGCGTGTCACGCGTGAAAACCGGCTCGCCGAGACGACGTTTGCGTACGAACGATTCAATAATGATCTGAGTAAATCGCCCGTCGACGAATTCTGTCGATGGGCTCATTAACGCCATGGATCTCTTAATGCGGCCTCTCGAATACAGTTCTCGGTCATTTAACGCTAAACCTACGATGCCGGTTGAAACGACCGGTCCCGCATTTTGTATCTAGAAAGTGCTGAAATTACATAGGAAATGATTGAATCAGTTTTTTCATTCAAGCATTCATTGTAATAAACATTGTGGAAAGCCTGAATAAATTCAGTCTTGTTATTGTTACAGAGCAACACACGGTCGTCAATTTTAATGCTCGGTGGGTTCAGTGTTGAACAGTGAAACGGAATCAATCTCTTGAAATTAACGACTAAACTGATCTTTCGTGTTAACTAATTGTTTATAATAGAATCGATAGTTCTGCTAAAAGAAGTACAATTAAAATCTACTCGGTCTCCACAGATTCTCATTATCAGATCTTTCCAACCTTTTCTAATCGCTGTTATTTCAACTTTTCACTCTGTCATCCCGATATTTTGAAATCATCGTTAACGCTAGAACTACCAAGCCCTAAAAGTACTATTAAAATCTACTCGGTCTCCACAGATTCTCACTATCAGATTTTTCCAACCTTTTCTAATCGCTGTTATTTCAACTTTTCACTCTGTCATCCCGATATTTTGAAATCATCGTTAACGCTAGAACTACCAAGCCCTAAAAGTACTATTAAAATCTACTCGGTCTCCACAGATTCTCACTATCAGATTTTTCCAACCTTTTCTAATCGCTGTTATTTCAACTTTTCACTCTGTCATCCCGATATTTTGAAATCATCGTTAACGCTAGAACTACCAAGCCCTAAAAGTACTATTAAAATCTACTCGGTCTCCACAGATTCTCACTATCAGATTTTTCCAACCTTTTCTAATCGCTGTTATTTCAACTTTTCACTCTGTCATCCCGATATTTTGAAATCATCGTTAACGCTAGAACTACCAAGCCCTAAAAGTACTATTAAAATCTACTCGGTCTCCACAGATTCTCACTATCAGATTTTTCCAACCTTTTCTAATCGCTGTTATTTCAACTTTTCACTCTGTCATCCCGATATTTTGAAATCATCGTTAACGCTAGAACTACCAAGCCCTAAAAGTACTATTAAAATCTACTCGGTCTCCACAGATTCTCACTATCAGATTTTTCCAACCTTTTCTAATCGCTGTTATTTCAACTTTTCACTCTGTCATCCCGATATTTTGAAATCATCGTTAACGCTAGAACTACCAAGCCCTAAAAGTACTATTAAAATCTACTCGGTCTCCACAGATTCTCACTATCAGATTTTTCCAACCTTTTCTAATCGCTGTTATTTCAACTTTTCACTCTGTCATCCCGATATTTTGAAATCATCGTTAACGCTAGAACTACCAAGCCCTAAAAGTACTATTAAAATCTACTCGGTCTCCACAGATTCTCACTATCAGATTTTTCCAACCTTTTCTAATCGCTGTTATTTCAACTTTTCACTCTGTCATCCCGATATTTTGAAATCATCGTTAACGCTAGAACTACCAAGCCCTAAAAGTACTATTAAAATCTACTCGGTCTCCACAGATTCTCACTATCAGATTTTTCCAACCTCTTCTAATCGCTGTTATTTCAACTTTTCACTCTGTCATCCCGATATTTTGAAATCATCGTCAACGCTAGATCTACCAAGCCCTAAACACGACTAACATACATCGTTTTATAACAACGACAAGATTGAATTCATATAAACATCCCACGATTATAATATACGCTTAAATGATGAAGTTTTCATCGAAAAATTCCTCACGGAAACATTTTTATAACATCAAAAATTGTAAAAGAAAAAATTAAAAACCAGTCATTCCGACCGGTTCGGTAGTTTTAGCGCTAACGAAAAAAAGTTCAGCAAACTTCCTGAGAGAACTTGCGAGAATCTACGCAGCTTCCAAAGGTCCACAGACTTTTCCGACCTCTTCGAGGGGTGTTGTCTTCGCACAACTCATTCCGGCTACTGGATTCTAGCTTCCAAATGGAGATCGGTACGTCGACGAGCTAAACAAGAAGAGCTCTAGAAAACTAGGAAAACGTGCACTCACCATCGGTAAATTCGCGTAGTCGCTGCTGTCACCCGTTTTCCCGGCAGACTCTCCGGAACCGGAGTCCTGGTCCTCGTTTCTCTCCGCCACGGTCTCCTCTTCCTCGGCTCTCACCTCCGACGACCTGCGTCGAAAAAGTGACGTTTCACCGCGGAACGTTCACATCTCGGCCCACCACTGAATCCAACCCCCTCGGTTGACGCGACGAATTTTTCGCGGCGCGACGGAAAATCGTGTCGAATACTCGGGGAAATCGGGATAGGGTTTGGCCACACGGCTCTCGGGCCGAGCGCGCGCACCCCACTGAACTATGTGCGTGGAAACCCACGACACGGCCAGGGCCGTATTTTTGGAGGACCCCGGAGTCGCCCTCCGTGGAGTATTAATAGCTCGGGGGGCGACCGGTTCGATCCGCGCGCCAACAAAAATATTTTCCCTTCGATGGATCGTTTTCTATTAGGTCGACCCGTAAATAACTTCCGCTTTCTTATTTCAAATTTAACATTTGTTTTACTTTCTTTCTTTTTTTTTATTCTTCTTTAATTTTCTTTGTTCTATTTGTTTACTCTGTTTTATTTGTCTTCGATCGAAAGATTGGGTTTATTTAAAGTTTCTGCGATTTTTATTGTAATATATGCTCGAACGAAGAAGTTCGGATACAAGTTTCTGACGGAAAACATTTTTGCGGTACATTGGGATTTTCAAAGAAAAGATCGGGAACCAATCATCTCGAGTGGTTTGGTAATTTCTGTGTCAAGAACGTCCGAATTATTAATGAAAAAGAGGATTTTTATTTTGGCTACCGTATCCTGCAGTTGATTTACGTTTCGATTTTGTATAAGGAGCTACGATCCGATTGCTATACCGAAGATCTTTATCCGGAATGAAAATTTTACGAGAAGCAGACATCGAATGTGCTATTTATACTTTCGATGATTTTATAAAAGGAAAAAAATGATTATAGAAGAGAATACTTCGTAGATAATATACGCGTTTAGGATGGATTTATTGATTGCGCGAAACAATCAAAATCGATTGCGATCCGTTTTGCTGTTAAACGGCAGCGTCTACCGAAATCATTTAATGCAAGGAACAAACGCGACGCTTTCTACAATATAAAAATGCATTAACATCCGTGCCCATTTTGAAAGACTACACCCGGAAAGATCCAATCAGAAATCCTGAATTATGCATGAGAATCGCCAACCTAGTTTCCAGTGCAAGACAAAAGTGAATAAGTATGCATTTAACCTCTTTGCCGTCGAAGATTTGAATGCGTGGTCGCGCGGCGGTGAATGATGCTTTTGTATTGCATATTTCCACGAAACACGATGGCGCTTTGCGCTCGTGTCGCATGCAACTGTACGTATACGAAGCTCCCAATTGTCTTCCCATTGACATGGAAATAGCCTTTTGTCCTTTGGCAATGATTATGGAAGCGAAGTTCGGAATCCGCAGTCGGCGAATGCGTTTAAGTGTCCGCCGAGCATCGGTTCCCAAATAGAAAAAAATTCGAACGTCGGCGCTTCAATAGAAAATATTCAAGACGAACGAACCTCTCTCTGCGAGATGAACTCGCTGACATCCATCAATAATTCAACAATTCCTTCGGGCAATGGAAATTAGAAAGAATTCATGCCGAAGACCATCGGTATACGCTTCGATAGAACTTGCGATCCGCTCGGTCAAAAAGTCTACAAAGATGGCTTTAAATTGATGATTAAGAAATCGATCCCTTGTTAGCGATTATAAAACAGCTTCGCAATTTCCAAAAGGCGAACCACTGTTACGCTGTTCACTGGCCTAATTTTATTTGGAAACTTCGAGATTTCTTTTCTTAACGCGATCTTTAATTGCTGAAGAAATAAAAAACTATATAATTAGGCGATAGCGTACAATTTATTTTACTCTATGATCGAAAGAGAATGTTCGAATTTGCAGTTCGGATCGTTCTTGAATTTATTTTTTAGGAATTATGGTACTCTCAAGTGTCGTTATTAAGCGAACCTCGAGTGCCATAATTCCTCGAAAATAAATAACTGCACATTCGAAGATTCTCTCTCGTCCTTAGAGTAAAATAAATAGAATGCTATCGCCTAATTACATAGCCTGACTTCTTTAGTAATTGGAGATTACATTGAGAACAAATGATCGACGACCTCTGATACCTGAACGCTCGATTGTTCCCGAAGACTTCGCTCGGTCGTTACGCAACGAAAAAATTCTCCTTTTCGGCGACGGTGCACGCGACGGTGCATCGAACCTCGGATGCACTTCGTACGTCACTGCGACGCACCCGTCGCGTTCTCACCCACGCCTGCGTTCTCTCCGTTCTCGAGTGTCGGGGCCGAGTTGACACCGGCCGTTCGATCGAAGATTATTCCGATTTTTTTTTCGAACGGCGACGACGGCCTGCCAGGGCTAGGTTTTCTTATCAGTCGCCGTTAGGTATATAGTCGATAGCGTCGATGGGGGGGAGCACAGAACGGGGATTATTGATCTGTTTGAGAAGGAGGAAGGGGGCGCGTAGGGTGCCGGCGCGCCTGCGTCGAACAAAAGCGTTCGATAAGGGTCTAGGAACCCATAAAACGCATCTGTGCTCTTGTTTTGTTCCTGACTGTTTGAAGAAGTTGAACAACCTCGGCCGTACGATTGATCAAGGACTAGGAAATGGTCCTTGCGGGCCGTTTATTCTAATCAGCCCCTTGCCAGGCCACGGGATCGTTTTGTTCGTCGACTGCGAGGGTTGTCCTCGGATTAGCGAACCCTGGTGGTCTCTTGGTTCCGAGTGCGATAATCCGTGGATCGGTGCAGGCGAATTGCTCTTTAATACTCTGACTGCCACAGCACCGACATTTTCGTGGAACTGAAGTATTTTATTTAATCGAAGTTAAATTAAGATTTTGACTTTGATTTATTTAATCGAAGTTAAGTTTTGCGTGCGATTCGTTCGTTTTTCAACATCCTTGCGTCTTGGAGGTTCTAATCAAATTAGGGAGATTGTTACATCTTGCTTCACTACTTTAATTTTAATTGGATTTAGTCTTCTCCTTCTTCTTCTTATTATTATTATTATGATTACTGTTGATATATCACTTATTATTGTTAATGTTATACTGTATACAAACATCATTCCGCGATCATCATTTATCATCGTATACCAACGTCATTCCATTATCTTCTTATCGAACATCCCAAAATCATCTGCAAGCCATAATTTCACCCTTGATTCATCCTAAATTAAGTTATAATATACGTTGCTTCATTCAAAATATATTTGATTTAGATTCAATTACACAAATGAAACCTACTTTTTTGAAACTGTAATTAAAAAGAGTTAAAATTTATCATAGTGGTTGGCATTTTAACACCTCCGCATTCTAAGTATATAAGAAAATTCAATTTGCTCGAATATATTACAATAATAGTGCATTTTGAAAGTTAAACAACAGTCACCATATTTTTTAAGGTACCCCTTCCATTTTTTTTCATAAACATTGATCGAACATGTGAAATGATAAATTAATCGTCAGATATAATAATATATAGAATAATATGTAGAATATATAGAATAGAATATAAATAGAATAGATAGAATAATAAATATAATAAATATGATAAATATAATAATAAATAAATAGAATATATAGAATAATATTTATATGTTGGATATTAACGACGAAACTATCGTTTCTAACATTTCGTAAAACGCTAATAAACGTATCTTCGTCAGAATTCATAAAAATAAAGATTTCATGGAAGTAAGAGTTGCAGACTGTGCCCAGGATGCAACAAACGTTTTCGTAAAATGCAGTTACTTAAGAGGGGTTCGGTAAGAAATTTTCTGGGAGCTGACGTTATAAATAGGAACGGGAAGGGTGTACAGATACAAGCGGATAGCATGGCATTCGTAGAAGCATACCGCGCGTCTTATCATTTCTGCTGCGTCTAATATCATTGTAACAGGATCTCGCGTGCAGATTTGCAACAATTGCATACTATATCTGCATTAACGGCTGCGCGATGACTGGTACCTCGAGCTACCCTAATCGCGTTGCGTAAATCACGCCTCTGTTCCCTACAAATCCGAGCATCGATTGTTATCGTAGACATACTATAATTTTTGTGTGCGGATCTTTATGCAAAATAAAAATAGTCTTCGTTAATTTCAAGATATAGGAACTACAAAGACAATTATACTTTTCTTAATGATATTAGCGAGTCGACAGCAATGCAATGATATCTTTAAATTGTTTAATTGATTTTGCTGTTTTGGATTTGATTTACTCATTTTCGTCATAAATGCATAAAATTCGCAATCTAATGATTACTTTTTTTCTGAATACTAAAAATATTTTTTCGTTTCTGCAGATACAGTAAATTCTCCCTAATTGACGCTCAGATTGCGCTCAGAAATGGACAATTTGGGAAGAGTACTATAAAAACGAACCGCAAGGCTCGAATAATCGTATCTCGTCTTTCCAAATTGTCCATTTTCTTGCACAATCTAAGCGTCAATTAGGATTTCGAAATCCTATTTTTCTTTTTAAAATAACGATAACGTCTTATTTAGAATTTCTTTGTTAAGATTGCTAAAAGAAACAGTCAAACATTTCATAAACAACGTTGATTAAATTGCTCAAAAAATGCCTAGGTGAAGAAGATATTTTTTAGCCATTTTTGTTTATGTGGTTTCTACCGCTTTTCGTAGGAAATACGTTTGTCGAGCGTGAGTTTCGTGTTTCAGACACACATACAGGCAGACATTGTCGAGACGGAAGTTATTGATATAATTCGATTCACGCGATCAATGATAGGACTGTCCTTTCGGAGTCGAAGGACGATAAGATTGTAAGCGCGTTACAAATGTGCAGATGCGGCTGTTTGCTCTGTGTGACGGTCGATCGACGCAGATGCATCCAGCCGAAATCGGTATCGATCAAAAGGAAAAAAAAAAATTGATTAAAGAATTCCGTACATCGTGCTTCTCAAACATTTATTTTGCTGATCTAATATGCCATCGATCTTCTTAAGACACACACACCGACAAACCTTGTCAGATATTTCTGTTCGAGTTACTTATCTAATTGTGCAATATTTACGATATTTAATTCGACAATTTATATAAACAATCGGACAGTTCATCCAAATATTTAACAAAGATCATTCGGTACCTTTTTTATTTTAGAATTTATTTACACGTTTTGCACGGGTCACGGGTCGAGCTTTAATCGCACGTCTAACGGGGTGGAAATTTTAAAAATATTCGCTTTTTAAAAAGCATTTAATATCTTCCAAACTGGCAATAAGAATTTGGTAAGAAATATATAACGAGAAGTTTTAGGATTTCACAGAGGGATTCTTTCAAATTCCACAGGGTGTCCCAAAATGATTGTACAAATGGGAAATGACCTCGAAACCCTTCATTTCTCGCTTGTACAATAATTTTGGGACATCATGTATAACGAAATTTAAAAGGAATTCAATTTTTTAAAAAGGAATTAACATCCTTCACGCACATAGTGCGTCAATTTTCGCGAGATAATTCGTTAACCTAAGAAATACCCAAACTCGTCAGACAATAATTCGACTCGCACAAATATGCTCCAGTTTCTCGTTTTATTAAACAATTTACACAGCAAGAAAATAATGTATTCAGCCAGCTGGACTGTTCGATTAAATATTGGCGTAGATAAAGAAACGAAATTTTATGGAAAAGAATTTTCAGCGCTAAAGCCTCGAATTCGGTCGGACCTAATAGAAGTACAGTGACACGAATGTAAACAATCACTGTGTTATCGTTGGCTGGAACATTGAGATAACTATGGCGGCGATTGGTGTGAGCAGAACGGAGACAAGGGGCCGGTACAATGTCTCCGACAGATTCTCGACGGGATTACGAAAGAGGTACAAGGTATACAGTTTCCCCCATTTCGTCTGGTTATGGGATTCACGGAGTCTTGTGATCTCCGGCAGGATGTTATTTCGAAGGCAAAGACCGAGTGAAACCGGTTCGGGACCTGCCGGCACCATTATTTTCCTGGACCGGTACCATCGCGTACCCTCCGACAGGCTAATTCATAACTTATGAAGAGAAGAGTCTCGACTCCGTAGGAAAAGTCCTCTCAAGGCCTCGACGCCTGGGGTCTCGGCCTCTGTTCGTCGTTCACTTTTTACCACGGGCGCATTGCACGGGACCAAAGGGAAGGTGTTGTCGATCGGTATCTCGAAAATTGTGGTGTTTTTCAGCCACGGGGATTCCGGGAACCAGCGAAACATTGTCGATCCGTAACGATCTCGTTCTTAAAGATGTGTCAGACTCTTACCGGAACTTCAGGCTAAGGTTCGAAATTAGTGGGCGCTGCTTAAACTTCATCAGATGTGTCGTAAATATAAAAGTAAAATTTGTTCTTTAACGAATGGGCATTTCGAACGTTTACGGTGATTAATAACGTTCGAGGAGCTCTTTAAAAGCCGATAATTTTGGGGAGAATCAACCTAGATGCACGCATAGCTTACGAATCCTTGAGACATTCAATAATCATTAGACTGCGGATCTTTATGCAAAATAAAAATTCTTCTAAATAATAGAGATATAAATAAGGATAATAATAAAAAGTAAATAAAATAATAATAATAATAAGTAATATAATAAAATAATATATAAATATCAAATAATATAATAAAATAATAAGAAGAAATAAAAATAAATAAAATAATAAAAAAGAATAAAAATAAATAAAAAAATAAAAAAGAATAAAAATAAATAAAATAATAAAAAAGAATAAAAATAAAGATCGAGAAAAATCCAGTTCGGTTACACGAGGTTCTACTATTTTTTGTTTCATCATAATGCATGAAATCCGCAGTCGAATGAATAATTATACAATTTTTACGCGTCCGTTTTTTTTTATGTGTTTGATCGAGAAAAGTGCAAAAAAATTACCACACAGGTTGTACGGTAGCGATGATTCGAAACCATGAAGAGGACGGCTATTAACGTTAAGTGTTGATTCTCGTGTGTGGTGTGCAGTTAATACTGCTGCGGTTACCTTCGACTGTCTTCGTCGCCAAGATCATCCGGCGTCAGAGGAGTAACGATGATAGAGTGCTCCTTCTGAATAATGATTTCCGGTTGTAGGTGGATCGTGTGTCGCTTCTGATAGAGGTCCTTACAAGATGCTGAAGAGGACAGGCCGTTCCTCTTTCGACGACGGCCGCTGGCGCCTAGATTTTGCAGGGCGCCCATAGATGGAAACCGGAAGCTCCATGCTATGCCTGAAGCATACAAATCCATCATTTTTCCAATTCCAACGATACGTGTAATCGTCGAGAACTTGAACGCTACGAGAATTTTAAGGGTTCAACGATTAAGTTCAATTAAAATGATTTGATCAGAGAAATCATGATCGACTATTTATTTTGTTTAGTATTTATTTCGTTTTATATTTATTTTGTCTAATGTTTATTTTGTCTAATGTTTATTTTGTCTAATGTTTATTTTGTCTAATATTTATTTTGTTTAATACTTATTTTGTTTAATGTTTATTTTGTCTAATATTTAGTTTGTTTAATACCTATTTTGTCTAATATTTATTTTGTTTAATACTTATATTGTCTAATATTTATTTTGTCTAATACTTATTTATACTTATTTAATCTATATAGTTATATTATATAGTATATATAGTATATTTATAGTGTAATATATATATAGTAGTATAGTAATCTATATAGTAATTATATAGTATAATTATACTTAATAATTATACTTATTTAATTTTATACTTAATTTATATATATATAATTAATACTTATTTAATCAACTAATAATTATTCAAAGGGAAGATAACCAAGCTGTTTTTGCTAAAAAAAAATATCGCACAGATTCAGCAAATAAAACAGTTTTACGATTGAGATTTAAAAATATTTCTTTGGGCAAAATAATAATCGAGGAATACTTCGCAGATAATCTTGACTAATAAAGAGTCGTTCCACTAAGCGGTTGATTTAATTGAAAAGCCAGCAAAAAGAGGCCGTTCAAGATGCACCTGGAAATTGTCAGAAAAATGACGTGATCATCTGCTGTTTCCAAGGGCAGATCCCTCTCGATCCACGCTCACGCAGCTGTCCTGTCGCTCGCTATCATCTCAATCCGAGAGCACTCGTTCACGGGTTAAATCGTGTCAACAGGCTGGTTACATATGTCCCGGCACGACCAATCTTCGATCAATTGTTTCTATCGACGTTACTGCCATTACCGGTGTCGACATTATCCTCTTCCACGAAGCGAATTCGCAAGAAAACGTAACGCTGATTCGATCGCGTTCGCATCAACACCGCGGAATGTTTAGCTGCACACGAACGATAAGCAAGAATGCCATTTATATATGAGCCAGACTCCTCGAGATTCGCAGCGCGGGCCCGCTCGATCGGGTTTCACTCGTGGATCACTTTTTTGAGCGTTGGATCTCTCGCGTCGATCTTGATCGAGAAGATGCGCCGTGCTCCTTCAACCACGATTTTTGTTGCTTTCGAAAACTTCGATTCGAGCGAATCTAATTGCACAGCTGATTTTACGATTCAAATCGCAAGAAAAGTATTCGTGCGAGTCGTAACAAAACATTGTTCGTAACAAAACACCGTAACAAAAATATTGGGACAACTTTTAAAATGTAATAATCATTTTAGAACTGAGATAAACACATTGTTTAAATTTTCGTTGTATAGGCTCAGATAAAAAGAAAAGCTAACAAATGGAAGCTTTTTATTTTCTTTGTCATTCTAAGGAATAACAGAATTTAAAAATAGCAGTCTAGTTAATAGACCTCTGTCATCCCTCTATCATCTAAAAAATAATTCAAGTCGTTTAATCCAGTCATATAAAGAAGTTATTTCGTTTTAAAAACTATCCAAATATTTTCATTGCCGACTGTAGGTTTCTCAATTATTGAGCCGTTCATTTTGAAAGTAGCATAAGTCACTTTGTTTTTAAGTCGATATACTTAAGGGTTCGCGTTTTAACACGTTTAAAAATATGGATGCTAACTTTCGAGATGATTTACTTGTATTTGTTATCTCAGGATACTGATATTTTTCTCAGTATAATATATATATATATATATATATATATATATATATATATATATATATATAATAATATATATAATATATATATATAATAAAATATATAAATTATAAATATAATAAAAGTTAATATAATTATAAATATAATAAAAGTGGTGATTTTTTAATGTTTATATATATAATATTATATATTATATATATTTATAAACATTAAAAAATCATCACTTTTCATTACGGTAAAGTGACTTATGCCACTTTCAAAATAAACGGCTCTATTATCTGTCGTTGTAATAGAGACTGTTCTTGAATCCCTAACAAGGCATTATTCGAGAAAAGACCAGCCAACAGTACGAACAAAAGGCAACATTATTCCCCAGGACAATGCACTGTTTTCCCAAGGTTCACCGGCTGCGACAACATTTCCAATTCCAGGTTCTTCAAGCTAGTAGCAAATTAGATTCTCCCTTATTCGATCTCGGTGACCTCAATGCTTTAATTGCTCCTTAACAAAATCAACCACGACAGTAAAATGCACTCAATGAGAAAAATTGCTACTCCTTTCCCCATCCTCCTGTTCCCCCTCTTCGCGGGCTAACATTTACCGTTCACCTGTTCGGTGTATGCCAGTCTAATCTGCACAGCATAATTCAGATTCACTTTCGTTACCGATTAGGTATGCTCAAGCACACAAGAGAGAGAGAGAGAGAGAGAGAGAGAGAGAGAGAGAGAGAGAGAGAGAGAGAGAGAGCTGCATTTATACAGACACAATAATGTACAAAACCACTGAAAGTCCAATTTCTCTTTCTATTTCACATTACAT